ACTCTATTGAGTACACTGAAACAAGTACCCTTAGCTTGCGACTTGCAAAAGATTCAGAAACCTGTCCACTTTATTCGGCCACAAGTAAGCATTTGTTATTTTTCTTACTACCCAGTTGTCTATCGGCTTGCTGAAACACTTCGGTCGGTTCAACGAAAAGCAGTACTCGAAGATTACGGGCGCTCTGGATTCGTTCTTCTCACGTTATGCATGAATGTCCATGGGAAAACAATGTCATCTCTCAACTTCTGGTTTCTTTTCCTCACTAGGACAAAGAAACGGGGTTTCCAAATGTCCAACGGGTTGTGGTACCTTTAAAGGATGCCCTTTCAGTGTCGGTTGAATGTGCAGCTTACATTTGCTGATCAGTTATACCATCGATCAACGGTGTAGCGATTCGTTCATCAATTGGGTCTCTGCTGGCAGATGTTATAACACAGAGACTAAATGAAGACCGGCTTTAGTCGATCAGAGAACCCTCGGGTCCTATTCCCATATATGAACGATATTTTCGGCAGATTAGACACTTGGTTTGAGCAATAACCTGAAAAAAGCGCCTCAATATCAGCCAACTTTGCAATCTACCTGGGGATGATAATAAAGGAGTGTGCCTTCACTTTCTGTACAGCTGAATCATTTCGTGGAAGTGTTTTCCTCAAGGAAACGTGGACAGAGTAGTACGCAAGCTTCCACTGTTTTGTCCCGCTAAGTCGGAAACGAATAAGCATAGTTTGTTGCCAATGCAAGCAAACATCCGTGTCCCAGGAAGCAATTGAGAAGAAGAAGACTCGATCGCTGGGACAATATGTTTATTCGCGAATTAACATATTGTCCCAGCGATCGAGTCTTCTTCTTCTCAATAGTTTGTTGCCTAGACAACCGAGTTAGAAGCATTTATCCAGCAGCTGACTTCGAGTACGAACTCACATTTATACGGACCGTTCTACAAGAGAATGCTTAGTAGCGAATATCCCTCACACGCGAAAATGAATGATTTTGCCAAGGTGTCAATTGAGAGAGACGTAAGAACGCCTATCACAAGCGAATGTGCTGACGGTTTAAAAGGACTTTAAAACTATTCAGCAAACTGCTAGTTCATGAAGATCTAACCGGTGACCTCCTACGACATATTTTGCATTCAACAAATGCATGCCTAAAAAATTGATTTTCTAAAGGATCCTTCTCTTCGGCTCGAAGTTAAGGGTCCGTTGTCTA